GGGATTATTCTTATCCTCCTCGGGCTCCTGCCGCCTCCACTTAATGAGCCAGATGGCTTCCCACCCACCCCCAGCTGGCCTGGCTGAACAAGTGGGGGATAGGAGCTCCTCTGCTATTCTAATCATCAACGTTGCCTGGACCCAGAGGAAGCCTGGATGAAGCTTTCCCTCCCCAGCTGGGGGCACGCAGGCCCAAGCCCCTTCAGGCGCCAGCCTGTCTCCAGCTCCACCCTCGGCGAGTAGAGGCCAGGCTCCAAAGAGGGGGTCAGGGGGTGACTTAGGGAGGGGTGGCCCTTGCTTTGAAAACATTTATTTATAGACTCCTGAGATTTAGAGCTCAAGGGAGAATCTGACCTAGTGGTCAGTCTTTCCTCGGCCCTGACTCACTCTATCACTCTTCCTCCGCTGGCTGCTCCCATCCACTTCTCACACATCCTCAGCAGAGGACCTTCCCATTCTTCACGCTGTCCTACATCTTCTGCTCTTTCTTTGACCTTGGGTTAGGAAAAGGCAGCCCTTGTGCTCTTCGGTCAACCCCAATCCCCTCTCCTCCTGTCCTTGATCTCAGCCACTTGTCTCCTACAGAAGCTTGACCCTGGGAAGCCCTAATGGTCCAGCTATGTTTATCCACTGACTCGGTTCCTCTTAGCCACAAACCTCAGATCCCCAGCGGCCTTTAGAAAGCCCACCCTTAATCCCACCATGCCCTCAAGTCACAGTCCTATACCTTTCCCTCCTTTCACAGCCGACCTCTTGGGAAAGCTCTCCTATTTCACATCTCCCTCTTTCTTCTCATTCCTTGTCGCCTGTGTCCTGGAGCCAAACTGAAAGCTCTCTTCCCGATCAGATCAATGAACGATCCATTCATTGCTGAATGAGCAGTAACTGACCCCCAGCTCCCTGTCCTGCTCTCCTGCCACTCTCCTTGCTCCTCCTCATCCTCCTTTGCTGGCTCCCTCTCCGTGACCCTCGTGGGGGAGCCTGGACCCTCCCCTCTCTTCACATTGACTTGAACTCTTAGCTCCTAGGGATTCAGGTAGCTTCTCTACGCAGACGATTCCCGAATCCACGGCTCCATGCCGACTGGACACCCCCGTCTGCTTCGTGGGCATCTCAAACCCGCGTTTCCCAAGCAGAATTCATTCTTCATCTCCAGCGCCACCGCTCTGGCTTCTGTGGAGGATGCCACTCTTCTGCCAGTCCTCCAGGTTTGTCGGCTACGAGGGAACCTCACTCTTATCCTGTATTCTCCACCCCAACCCCCATATCCCTTCAGTTGCTCCCTCATCTTTTCCAGCCCCACCGTGTCTCCTCTCTGTCCCCTTCGGTCCCCTTGCACCATCACTGGTCCAGCCTCACCCCTCCTCTCTTTTCACCTGAACTCTCTCTAGAGTCAATTGGTCTCCCAGCCTCTGGGAGACCTTGGCACGCCGAATGCTGTCCCTCACCCCCACCTCCTGGAGCCCCCCGGCTCCTTTCCAGGCTCCAGGGCCACCTTCAAGAGACTTTTCAGATGCCCCCAAGTGATTCGCACCCTCTCCCCATCACCGGGGATCTCTTTACTTTGTGTCTAGCCTTTATTTACTTCGCTGTGTATACGTTGTATCTGCTGAGTAGACGGGAAGCTCCCTGAGGGAAAATTGTTGAATGCTCCTCAAATTCTGGGGCAGACGGGTGGGAGCTCTGCAGAGTCTGCAGATTGAGTCACACAGTGCGCATGTACACGTATGAGAATATATGCATGCACATATATGCATATGAAGCATATGTGCATGCATGTATAGAGATAGGTGACGTGTGCACGTGCATGTATAGATGTGTGTGAGACATGTATGCATGTGTGTATGTATATGAGATATGTGCATGCATACACGCATATGGATGTGTGTATATGAGATATGTGTACTGTATGTATAGGTATGTATGTGAGGCACATATGCATGCATGCGTGTGTGTTTGTGTATGTGATACATATATATGCATGCACATATATGCATGTGTATATGTATATGTATACGACATAGCCCATAATGTAATGTTTTGCTTGAGCACACGAATTTATTAAAGGGCTTTTTTTCTTTCTTCAATTGGAGAAGAGGGGGAAGAAGGAGGGAGAGAAGGTGGATTTTGATTCATTGGAAACTGAAAAGAAAAACTTTTAAATGCACAGCAGTTGATTCACTCATCTGGCATGTTTATTTTGTTAATGAGGAAACTGAGGCGCACAGAATTCTGAAGCACCTTGTGTGGGCCACACAGCTAACTAGTGGCTGAGCCAGGCCCCTCCTAACACTGCCAGCTTTGCTTGGGAGGGAGCGTTTCTTCCAAGGGACTCTTTCTGCAGTGAGCACACAGGGTGGCATCTCCTGCTCTGCTCTCCCTGGGCTGGGTGAAGTCCCGAGAGCTACCAGACTGCCCAGTGAGACTGAAAGCCCCAGCTGTCCTGCCCCTGGCCTCACGTTTCTGCTGCAGCCCCTCGCTCCAGAGCTGAGGCTGCTGTGCGCCAACTCTCGGGGCTCAGAAGGACGTAACCAGGTAACCAGCTGCCTGACGGAGGAGGGGTGTTTCTATTCCGTCTCCTCCTGCTAACGTACCTGTGGGTGGAATGGCCCGTGGCTGCCAGCACAGGCCGTGGCCATCTCTGCATGGCAGCCTGCAGTCACCCGGGCCATAGATGAGGGTTTGGAGCCAGAGAGCACATTCCTTTGCAGCCCTGTGTTAACCTCACGTCTCCTCCAGATCTAGCACTCACATGGGCCTTCAAAGCCCCACTGTCCTATCTCCATCCTTCTCTTCCCACTCAAGTCAAATGTGGTCTTCTTGCCCACATTTGCCCAAACTCCCCACCCTAAGAACTGAAGCATGATTCGGCAGAGGCAGGGCGATGACCTGGGTTCAAATCCTCATTCTCTGTCTGACCCTGTTTCACCTCATCTGTAAAATGGGTCTAACGTTTTACACTCCCCAGAGCTCTGGGTTGCTGCCAGAAGGGCTTTAGAGCTAGGATCCCAAGACATCACCTCAGTTTTCTTATCTGAGAAATGGGGATAATAGCATTCCCTGCCTCACAGGTTTTCAGTGAGCATAGATAGGCATTCCTGCCCTTAACTTTAAGGTGTCAGGGAGGTGTGGGCCATTGTTTCTTCAGACCCGCCCTCCCAAACATTTATAATTAGTGAGCTATCATCAGGATGCTATAATTAGTGGTGGATTATACAAAAATGTCATATATTTGGGCTAAGCTCCTGATAAAAATCTCTACGGGTGATGGGCCTCTAACAGACCCTCAGGTGCCTAACTCGGAGCTAGATTGCCTGCAAGGGCCCAGTAAACTGTCTTCTCTTCCTGCCCCACCCCCTCCCCACAGGGTGTGGCTTATCTTGTCTCCCCAGGGATCCCCACCCGCCAACTAAGGCCACTGGGAAAGCCAGGCCACCCTTCCAGCTAAGGCCAAGGGGAAGCGAGGCTGGGAGGGAATGCAGGGGCCCATTCCGCCCCCTCCCTCCCTTGGCCTCTGCATTCCCTCCCAGCTAGCCCATCTTGAATGGGGCCAAACAGGAGGCTGGCTCAGAAACGTCCCCTATCATTTCAACAAGGAAAAAACTCAGTGGGAGAGGCCGAGAGACCCAGCACCCAGTGTCCATCAGAGATGTGCAAATAATCACCAGCGAACAGCTTACGCACTATTTTTCTTTTTTTAATGCAAGAAAAAAAATCTTCATTTTTTTCCGGTTTTCCACATCTGAGTATAAATAAGACCCTTTTAATAATAGATGAGCACCCCCCATAGCAGTCTCCGCTCACACTTAACCCCTTACGGAAGGGGGTTCAGTTGGAGGTAACAATGCCACCCTTTTCTGGAGGCTCTAGACCCCGCAGAAGGCAGGCATCTACACAGGACAAGAGGCTGGGCAGGGCCCAGCCTGACCTTCCTGAGCAGTGTCCTGGGAGCTCAGGGCCACTGTGACCCACCCCCACGAGGCTCCCAAGAGCCTCATCCCAAAGCACAGGAGGAGGAGAGGCGCTCTGAAGGATGGGAAGCCAGCTCAGCACCTCAGAGACAGTCGGGTCAACCGCTTCCTCGGTCTGCCCGACAGACTGGGGGAGCAGGCACAGGACCCACCTCGATGCTCTGAAGCCCTGGGCCTTGTTTCCAAGGGCCCCAGTGGAAGGGGGAAGCCAGGTGCCCCAGCAGCCTCGGGCCACCACAGCGCACACCGCTGGTGAGCAGACACCTGAGCAGCAGACATTGGGATGCCGAGGGACTGGGGCCAGGGGAGGCCCATCTTCACCCAAAGGGTCTGAAGCTGAAGAACAGGGCCATCAATGACTCCCAGACCAGAGGGGCCTCCACAGCTGTTCTCGCAAAGGTCGGTGCTTGTGGAAAGGGAGTCAAAAACAGTGCTTCTCAAAGTGGCTGGAAACTTTCAGGAATTGGAAGTTGAGTCCAACCTAGCTGGTTTTCTTGGGCAGACGTAACCCATGGGGCTTCTGGGCCTTCCACAGGAAAGGTGGAAGCTCCTGGAGCATCTAAGCTGGTGTGATACAGGGGAGGTCTCTGGGGAAGAAGGGAAAGAATCAGCAGTGCCTGAGCTGGGGAGACAGTGCTGGGGCCAAGGGGTGGGCAAAGGCACTGAGTACCACGTGAATTCAGGAACAGAGGGAGGGGCGGCCTGCTCGTCACCACTCCAATCTGTGACCGGTGTGCCAACAGAGGTCTGCTGTGCGTGACAAGCCCTGCCTCCCCGCCTGCCAGCGTCTGACCGGAGGTCACCGCCGGCCCAGAGGACCAGACCAGTGGCCCCAGGAAAGGACCATGGGCTTGTGGCCATGCAGCCGGGGAGGGGGAGGGGGAAGCGACCTCTGTAGGCCCTGGGGTCTGGCTCTTTGGGTACACTGTATAGACAGCCAGAGGGAGGGAGCCTGGCAGGGTCTTCTGTTGGGCTCGGTGGGGGTGGGAGTGGGGTACACACACAGGGGAGGGAGGGAGAAAAAAAGAATACTGCCTCTGACTTCATATATTAAAAATATCCATAGTTCTTGTGCACAAAATTCCAACATTGACAAGTGCTGCCACTGTCTCCCCACCGGGCTTGGTATAAATGTTGTTTCAATGGTGGTTTTCCTTTTTGAGAGCTGCAAAAACCCATCTGTTAGTTAGGTCTTTATGGAACAGACACGGCAAGGGAGCGCTGAGAATGGGATCCCCCCCCCCCAAAGCTTCAGAAAGCTAAGAAACTCTGAGGGGTAAGAGTGGGGCCACACCCCCTTCCGCGACGGGCAGGACACCTGTCATTCATGCCTCCGTTTGGAGGGAGGTACCAGATGGGGGGGCAGGTCAGCAGGAAGCTCGTGCCCTTCCAACTTGACCTTGATCAAGTGATTGGCCAGGGCAAACTCCTCGTCATCCAGCAGCCCGTCTTTGTCCACGTCGGCCAGCTTCCAGATCTTCCCCAGGACCGTGTTGGGGAGCTTGGACTTCACCATCTCCTTCTTGGCATTGGCCCCGGTAATCTTGCCATTGACAGGAGACAGGGTGTAGAAGATCTCATCGTAGGTGGGCTTGTCCTTGCCCACCACCCACTCCACGTCATCGATGCCCTCTCCGGCCCCTTCTCCATAGCCGTGGCCAAAGGGCCCATTCATGGTGCCATCGAAGGCGCCGCCCTTCACGGCCTGTGAGGGCATGAGGGACTCCTCCTGGCGCACCATCACCATCAACCGAGCGATGTCTTTAGACAGCATGTCGTCCACGGTGTCCAAGAGCTTGGGCTTTAGGGCCTGGAATTTACTGAAGTCCTGAGTCTGCAGCAATTCCTGCAAGGAGAGCGAGAAAGAGGCTTGACAGGGATCCACTATAACTAGGGCCCCCATCCCGGGGCGGTCAGCTCCCCCGACCAAAGAAGGAGCGGGTCATCCCTTGAGCTTTGTTACGCCAACCTTGGCTGGGACAACACGGGCGCCAGGGTCAGCTCTGCCACTGCCAGAGAATGGGACCAGAGGCGCGCCACTCCCTCTACTCATTAGGTAAAACCAACAAAGGAGGCCCAGTGGCCTTTAAGCTGGGGACACGAGGGCTTCTGGGACTTCCAAGGGAAAGGTGGAAGCTCCTGGAGCATCTAAGCTGGTGTGATACAGGGGAGGTCTCTGGGGAAGAAGGGAAAGAATCAGCAGTGCCTGAGCTGGGGAGACAGTGCTGGGGCCAAGGGGTGGGCAAAGGCACTGAGTACCACGTGAATTCAGGAACAGAGGGAGGGGCGGCCTGCTCGTCACCACTCCAATCTGTGACCGGTGTGCCAACAGAGGTCTGCTGTGTGTGACAAGCCCCGCCTCCCAGAGGACAGGTTGTCCTGACCTGAAGCTCACTCCGATGACAAGGTGAAGCATCGCGCACACGCCTGGGAAAGGCTACTCCTGTCCACAGCCTCTGCTTCTCCGCCACCAAGTCAGGGCGTGGCGAGGAGCCTGTGGGACCTCAGGACGTCCCCTCCACGGCAGACCTACCTGCATCTTCCGAAGATTTGGGAAGTCCCCGGGAGAGATCTGGTGCTCCCGTTCGATCTTCTGGTAGATGTCTCCCAGGTTGCTGACTAGCTCCTTCTTTTTGCTCTCCTTCCCAAACATGTTGGGCATCTCCTTCTTGAGGGAGCTGATGATGTACGCGTGGACCTAAGGCACAGGAAAACACAGTCAACCCCCCAGGGCCAAACCCAACAGTGCCCCTACCCTGAGGGAGCTCCACAGTGCCAGGCCCCAGGGCAGGGCACAGTTAACAAGAGACAATGGGCCAGTCACTGAGGCTGGAAGTGGGAAAACACGGAAAATCCTGAGTGCCAGGCATGAGGAAGAGCAGCCCTCCCTCAGGCTGAATACATTCCTAACCCCAGGGAGCGGCTGGCAGATGAATCAATGCTCCGGAGGTGGCTTTCAAAGCTTGGGAAGTCCCACCTAGAGAGAGGCCCAAGGGGCAAAGGGGCACGAGGCCCAAGTTGCACCCAAGCCTTAATCCCTGAGCAGACCGACTCACGTAGGTGTAGACCCACCCTCCTTTTCATTTCTGGCCCCTCCCAGGATAGGCCTGGCCCTGACACTACTCAGTCTGGTCAGGTCAAGCACGGCCACGCTCTGCATGCTGACCTGTGCTACCCTTTCTCCGTCCTGTCTTCTGGGCTGCGCTCCAGAGGCCCGTAGGATGGGCATCACGTGGGTGGCAGAGTGAGATTGGCCAAGCTCAGGCCTGGGTTGCACTTCACTGCCCATGGCCCACATTCTACCCCCATGGCATGGCAAGGGGAGGTGAGAACTCTAGTCTGGGAGTGCTCGGAAGGGCATAAACGGCAGCCGAGTCAGGAACCCAGAAGGTTTCCCAGCGGGGTCAGGGGCCGGCACAGAACAGAAACCTGTCTCTTTTGCTGGACTCTAGACTGGAGAGGGCCTGTGAAGAGCTTGGTGATGAAGAGCTAGGGGCAGAGAATGTGAACTGGCTGTTTGGACTCTGCCTAGAAAGCAATCAGCTTCCACCAGCGAGGAGACGAGGCCCGTCCTGTGACCCGAGACCACCACCTTGAGCCCACAGTCCTCCCAGGTCCGGTCCCAGCTGCCACTCTAAGGGAGGCCAGAGGGGAACAGGACAGGCCACCCCAACAGCACGGGATCCTGAACTCTGACACCTACAGAGTCCTCCTCGCCAGGGAAGGGGGGCGTTTTCTCCCCTCATCTAGCCCAAGGAATGAAAAGCTGTGTCCTCCCAGGCCACAAAGAAGCAAGATGGAGGCCCTGCCTGCCCTGAGGCCCTTCCCTCTGACTCCTGGTGGCTCTTGGAGCCTCCACTTAGGGGAAATGCCCAGGCCACGGGTGCCTTCCTGTGCCACGCCTTCCCTGCTGCTCATCTTGTTCCCCCATTCAACTGTCAACTCTGCAAGGACCAGCTCTTCCAGAAAATTCTGTCTAATCCTCATCAATTTATACCCAGTAGCTCATTTAAGCCAAGTGGCCCTGCTTTCATTAAAAGTGTCGCCCACTTGTAGCCAACGTTTCTGATTTTCTGCTTTTGGCAATGGGGAACCAAGGTCTAGTACATGCTTTCTAATCCATTAACACGCACAGTCCACACCAGTCACTGACACACACAGGCCACACTGGTCCACACCGGTCCCTGGTGACCACGCCCATGAGGGTTCAGTGCTACAGGGGCCCGGGCCAGACATCCCAACTACCGTGTCCAGCCCCACGTCCAGCCCCCCCCACCCCGGCCTACCTTGGCCAGCCGGGCTCGCTTGATGAGGTCATTCAGCTTCCTGAGGGCGGCGTTCCGGGGCAGCGACTGGATGTCCTTGAAGAGATCCTGCTCCTCAGCTTCGAAGAGCTTCCGGTTGTCCGGGATGAGCAGGGGGTGGGACCAGAAGGAGCCGATGTAGACCCTCACCACCTCGGGCGTGTTAATGATCTTGCCTAGGGACCACATGAGGGCCCCGTAGACCCGCATCAGCTGCTGCGTCTCGATCTGGTCTGCCTTGTTCAGCACCACCCGGATCTTGTCTTCGTGGTTCTTCAAGGCCTTGATCACCTCGGAGAACTCATCCGAGATGTCCAGCTTGTGGGCGTCGAAGAGCAGGATGATGCGGTCCACTCGCTCAGCAAACCACTCAAGGACGGCTGCAAAGTCATAACCTGGGCAAGGAGACGGGAGAAGTGGGGAGTTCAGAAACCCTGGCCGGAGGTCGTCCAAGAGAAAGAACGCTCACGGACTCTGCAGTCACACAGCGAGACGGGAACGGCCCACACAGAGGGATGATTTTTATGATGGTGGCATCATTGGCACGACAGGCACACTGATACATTGCTGGTGGAGCTGTGAATCAGCACCACCATCTTGGAAAGCTATCTGGAATTACGCCAAAGAAAGTGACAAAAACACCCATCCCCTCTGACCCAGAGATTCCTCCCCAAGGGGGCCACCGCTTATACATGTCAAGATGTTTATAGCAGCACTCTCTGTAACAGCAAAGATGAGCAGCAAAGTAGATGCCCCTCAACTGGAAAACGGCTAAGCACACCGCGGTGCCCAAACACAACGGAATAAGCCCGTGCTGTGAGGAATGACCAGCGAGATGCACGCAGAGATGAGAACACCACCCACCAACGAGCACAGCGTAAGGAGTCGAGGCCCCCCCCATGGCATGTTTCCAGATTTTTCCAATGTTCGAATCAGTTCTGCTCATTCCCCCCTCCCCCACCCCTTTCTGTATTTAAAAGTCCCATCTATTATATATACAGGATGGCTCTCTGGGAGGGGATGGGGAAGGAACACTGAGAAATTAGAATGAGGGGAAAAAAAGACACCAACAAATATTCATATACAAAGAAATCCTGCTCCTGACCCTTACTGCTTGAGTAGTAAGTCACTTCACTTCCCCGACGCCTCAGTTTCCTTTTCTGTAAAACGAGAAAACTGGGGTCAGATCTGGAGCCAGAAGGGCCCTTACCTGAGAGGCCCTGGCCCATGGTCCTGCCTGGCCCCCACACCTCCAGGGGACACACCGAGACGGAGCCTACCATCCAGAGGACAAACCATATGGTAAGTGCTCATGGGTGACGGAGCCAGAGGGCTCCCCGACCCCAAAGAGAGGGCTAATTCCCGGGCACCAAGCACACCTGCCTACCACCGCCCCCAGGAACGTGCCTCTGCCTCCTTTTTCACGGATGGGCAGAAAGCTCAGCGCACATCCTGCCAACGACCTCCCTGAGCGGCTTCCCTCCCGCTAATCCTCGGGGTGATGCCCACCCAAGGCTGCTAACCATGAAGCAAAGGAGACCAAGGATGTGTGACAAGTCATGTCCCAAGCCAGCTTGGCCCTGGAATTCCTGAGCCTCTTAGCCAGCCACAGAGAAACCCGAGGTGGCTAAATTCGCGCTCCATCCAACATACAGATCCTCTCCAATGAGAAAGAAGATTAACAACCAGTTACCAGAGGAACAGTGGGTGACATTTAAAGCACTACCCAGGGACAGGGCCTATTTGTTCTGCTTGACACTGTAAACAGCTCCTGAGGCTCCCTTTGAAACATACCGTCTATCATTTCAATGACAACTGATCTTGGTATTTCAGTATTCTGCTTGTCTTATCTTTTAAAAAAGTACAAACAATTTCAACAAATAAAGGGAGGGAAAGACCCATCCTCAAACAAGGCTAACTGGACAGAACAGTTCCGGTTTTTTAAGGAAGAATGCCTACTCCTTTCCCTCTACTGGGGCACAAAGACGGCTTGCCCCTCTCGAGGCTCTACAAGGAGCGCAAAGGCTGAAAATGTGAGCCCCACCACAACCCTGGCCATCCTTGGGAAAGCCGCGCTCGCCCCCAGAGGGGCTGCAGGGCGAGGCCATCGCTTCAGAAGGCAGGCTGCAGTCTACCTTCCTAAAACCAAGGACCCAAGTGGTATTCATCAAACCTGCTCTGGACCAGGGACTGGGCAGTGTCCGGACTGAGAGAAGGAAGGCCTTCCTTCTGCCCTCCCCTTGGCCCTTCTGGGCTGATTTTTATGATGGTGGCATCATTGGGCACACTGGCCGCCTAATTCTGTTTTGCATTAGTCTGCATTCCCATCCCTCATTTGTCATTAACGAGGACCCAACATTCTATCCCACAGACCTCTATTAACAGACAGCAGAGCAGCCAGTCGAATCTGTCTTATCCTATAGGGTTAGGAAGAGCCAAGACTGAAAAGCAGAAATGCAGTCAGCCCAGCGGGAAGCCGAGGGATGGGGGTGAAGGCTGGCGGACAGCCAGCACGGCTGCGGGCACACTGAGTTCTTCATTTACACCAAGCTGAGCCCCCGCAGAGCCGAGTTAAAACGTGAAGGCCAGATGGGACCCCTGCCTCCACACTACTCCATCCTGCCAAGGCTGAGCAGGCTGGACACATATCAAGCCAAACTAGAATGCTGGCGCTACATCACAAGGCTTCTAAGATAAACAGTCAACACAAGACGTGTCTGAAGAACAAGGCTCCACGGTGGGCCCAAGACCCCCCTCTCAGCTAGGTCTCCTGGGACGCAGGTTTCAGCAAGGGTGGGTCAGAGGGGAAGGGCATTCACGGGGAAGCCATCCCCTCACCCTGGGGCCCTGGGCCAGTCCAGCAGCCTCGGCCTGCCTCCGCCCTCTGTGAGAGGAGGGGGCTCTGGCGGCAGGCCTCTGCTGGTCCTCCCTGCCTCTGAATCTGACCCTTCTTCCCCTTTGTGTCCGAATGACCTTTCTTCCCACCTCCATCTCCTCCTACGAGACACAGAGCTGAAGCATGTTCCCCTGCCTACCCTCCCTCTGTCTCTCCCCTGTATTCACTCTTTCTATATCTCTTCTTTACCCCACGAAGACCTCTTTCCTTCTTCATCCAGGTAGCCCCAGCACCTAACACATAGCAAGTGTGATGACAAATGCAGGCGGGTTACAGGAGCATCAGCAAGGAGATGCAGCGGGAGAGCCGAGCCCCTGGGTACTCGGGACGATGGGTTAGCCTGGCACAGTCAAGAAGAGAGCGGGGCAGTGCTGCCCACCTGGAGGGGGCAATGAAAGACTGCCAAAGGGAAAAAGAGCCTCCTCTAAGGGTCTGCACACGCTGACGCCCTCGGGGGCAGAAACACTGTCAAACAGGCACCTCACACTCGGCACCCTGGGCCAGCGGCTGGCCAGGCTTCGGTTCAGACAGGGTCTGCTACGAAGCATCCTTCTGTCTCCAGACAGAAGTCTGCCTCAACACAGGATTCAGCTTCAGGGTGGGGAAAGGGCAGCCAAGGGCCAAGACGCGGCCTCAGAAACCGACCCTTCCCCATCACCTTCAGCCCGGCACTGAGCACTACGGCCAAGGGAGAGGCAGAGAAAGGGCCTGAGGTGGCCCCGAGAGTGACCACCACCCCTGAGCCTCTGGACTGACTCTACACGAGGGGCGGGGAGGCTGCCTCAGACAGGCTTCTGATGTGAAAGCCCCACCCCCGCAGGGCCCAAGGCGGCCCCAGGTGAAAGACCCCTGGCCAGCTCACCCCCACGGGTCGCCTCCCTCTTGTCTGAGGGCTCCCCAAGTTCGAGCAGCTCCACATATGGTGCCAGAAAAGGGAGCTATTCAGAGCAAGGGCTCCTGGTGGGCTTGTGCTCCAGCAGCTGCTGGCCTTCATTCCAGACCTCTGAGGTCAGAAGATGGCCAGCCCCACCTCAACTCACGGGGAGTGGTCCCCCTCCGTCCCGGGGCAGCCACGTAGTGTGCAATGATATTTTTCTACCCCAGGTGGGGGAGGAAGGAAAGGGCATGATTCCTGCATGATGATCCCGCACTCTCTGGCAGGCCGACTCTACTGGTAAGGCTGGCAAAGCGGAGGGCTCCTTCCTGGCCTCCCACTGTGGCATGACCACAGGGCTGTCCTTCTCAGGACAGGTCAACACTTCTTCCCACGCTGGCCTGGGGACAGGACGAAAGTGAGCTGGGCCCCAGACGAGCAGCCTGAAGGGGCTGTGTGAAAGCCTCGGCCATGGGGGTTTGAGCGCAGGGAAACAAGTGATTCCTGTGCTGAAGGACCTTCAGTTGTAAGAGGAGACACGAGCAGAACAACCCGCCCGAGGCAGTGTGGGCTGGGGGGGGCCTGGCATTCAGCGCAGCAGCTGAAGGAATGGACAGAGGGGCAGGAGAGGGGACAGCCAGGACAAAGGCTCGCAAGTGGACAACCGTGTGAGGAGAGAAGGCCAATGTAGCTGGCCTCCTAGAGCCCCAGAAATACTGAGGGCATATACTGTGAAATGAGCCTGGAAAGGTCAGCCAGGGCCGGCGCACGGAGACCGGGGGTGCACCGGGCAGCCCCTCAGAACCACTCCATCCCCTGTCTGGTAAGCAGCTCCCCTTCCCACTCAGGTGAGGAACCCCAAACCAATTTTTACAAATACTGACTCATCAACAAGGGGCCTCTGATCTGTGCCTCATAGAGGTACCTGGTCAGCGCAAAAACACCAGTGTCTTGCATCCAACTTTGAGAACAGGGACTCCTGGGAGCCTGGGCCTCCGACTGAGGCAGGGTTTCAGGGCCATCGTCCCCAGGAAAGACAACACGGCCACCAGGGCTCATCGCCCGTCAGTTTCAGTAGCAAAGGAGGGCCGTGCCAACCCCACACAAAAGGCCACTCGGACGACAGACACTCCCGAGCGTAACAGGAATCTATGGGCCCAGACAGGAAGCTGTAGTTTGCTCGGTTAAATCGAAAACTGTTCCTCGTGAGAGACATTCACCAGGACGATGCCGCTGGCTGTGGGTGATGTGGGGGACACCTGATCCTTCCACAAAGGAGCCAATCACAAAGTGGAAGAAGGGCCCCTCGCCCGGCTTGGCCAAAAAAAGCTAAAAGCAGCTCCTGGCTGGGGAGCACAAAGGCTGTCAGCAGCAGGCTGCTGCCTTTGAGAAGACAAACCAGGGCACATCAGCCTGGCAGAAGGAAAGGTTTTTGCCGACGCGGGCTTTGGGGAGGAGCTGAACCTGCTCTCATCTCGGCCTCCCTGGCCCCTCTCACTTCCCTGCAGGGCCAAGCACGGCCCCAGGGAGGACAGGCAAGGCTGGAAGTCTGCTCCCCCTCCCCTCCCCCAGCTGATGGGGAAGAGCTGCTTTACCCATTCCCAACGTGGCCAGGACATCGAACA